GGGCTTAGGGTCTTCAGGTTGTTGAGTTGCTGGCTTTTGGGGTTTGGGGTTTCGGGTTTCGGGTTTAGGGTTTCGGGTTTAGGGTTTAGGGTTTAGGGTTTAGGGTTTAGGGTTTAGGGTTTAGGGTTTAGGGTTTAGGGTTTAGGGTTTAGGGTTTAGGGTTATCCGAGTACCTTGCTTTGATATGCGACGTTTCGACGTGCAGGGACGATACCCGGTGACTAGGGGATTGAGGCGGCATGAGGGTTCGTCTTGGAGGGGGTTTAGGGTTTAGGCTTCAGGATTTAGGGTTTAGGGTTTAAGGTTTTGCTCAGGGTTTAGGGTTTAGGGTTTAGGGTTTGGGGTCTAGGGTTTGGGGGTTGAGGGTTGAGGGTTGAGGGTTGAGGGTTGAGGGTTGAGGGTTGAGGGTTGAGGGTTGAGGGTTTAGGGTTTAGGGTTTAGGTTTAGGGCTCAGGGTTTAGGGTTTAATGCTCAAGATTCAAATCATGCGCCAAGCGACTGCGTCATCGACTTGAAGCGCACCAGCACGTTCCGCTGCAATATTTGCAGGTTCGTCCTCATCGCACATCATGGGTTTCTAAGTTTAGTCTCCCCTTTAGGGGCGCCTAAACCCCCTATGCCCTTTTTAGCAGGGAATCCTACTAGACCATACAGTGCAATGATCGGCGATGCGCCTCCTGTATAACGACAAGCTTGGCTGAAATGTGGACTCTGCTTGAGGAAAACAGGCATGCTACGAATGCCTTGATCCGGCTCTTGATAGCCCCATAGGCTCCCCCAAAACGAGGGTTTGGGGTTTAGGGTTTAGGATTACGAGGGATTAGGATCACCTGAACATCGGATTGTTCTCGTTCTCTCCGACTGCAGGGTGCAGCAAGCCACTTTAGGGTTTAGGAACTCTACCAAAAACCCAACCCCCAAAATGCGCACAGCTCCAAAATTTCCTCCAAGCTCTGCACACCGCTGTGCTTCCAGTTCTAAGCCCTAAAGGTCCATAAGCCCTAAACTTCTAATAGTCTAAGGCCCTTAAGGTAAAGCATGTCAAAGGGGGTATGTAACTCGAGGTTTCCTATTACTTACCACTACTCCCTCAGCTTCCCTAAGGTTCTTTCGGTTAGGAACCCTATAATGAACCTTAAACCCCCCTAAACCCTAAACCCTAAACCCTAAACCCTAAACCCTAAACCCTAAACCCACAGTCGAGCCCTAAACCCCTCTTATGACCCTACATCCTGAAACCGCAAGCCCTACATCCCCTAAAACCCCTCTGAAAAAGTAACACCCTTCAAAAAGCACTGAAACCCGAACCTAAACCCCTTCGTTCGTTCTTCAAACCTTAAACACTAAACCCTGAACCCTAAACCCTAAACCCTAAACCCTAAACCCTAAACCCTAAACCCACTCCTGGGCTTCTTGAGGGAGTTGATCTTTTGCAGCAGGAAGTCTTTGATGCGTGCGACAGCCTGCTACAAGGGGGCTCTGGAGCCTCCGGGCCTCCGGAGGTTTAGGGTTTAGGGTTTAGGGTTTGGGGTTTAGGGTTTAGGGTTTAGGGTTTGGGGTTTGGGGTTAGGGTTTAAGGTTTGGGGTTCAGGGTTTGGGGTTTGGGGTTTGGGGCTTGGGGCTTGGGGTTTGGGGTTTAGAGTTTGGGAGGTGGGAAGTTTTAGGAACTTCGCGCTGGGGGGTATGGAGTTGGCTCACGGAAGCCCTAAACCCTAAACCCTAAACCCTAAACACGAAACCCTAAACCTAAAACCCTAAACCCTGAACCCTAAACCCTAAACCCTAAACCCTAAACCCTAAACCCTAAACCCTAAACCCTAAACCCTACTCGGCTTCCATCCGCACCTTGGTTCGAAGCTTCTCCAGTTCGGGCGCCGACTGTGCGCAGCTGGGCCTGGGCTTTTGAGGGTCGGGGAGGGTGGGGTTTATCGGATCTAGGGTTTAGAGTCTGCTAGGGTTTAGGGTTTAGGGTTTCGGGTTTAGGGTTTAGGGTTTAGGGTTTAGGGTTTAGGGTTTAGGGTTTAGGGTTTGGGGTTTAGGGTTTAGGGTTTAGGCTTGGGGTCTGGGTTTCGGGTCTGTAAGGTGTAGGGTTCAGGATTTAGGGTCCGCCGACCCTGGCGGCGTGTTGGATGGTTTTGGGGGAGGCCCCTAAACCCTAAACCCTAAACCCTAAACCCTAAACCCTAAACCCGCAAAAACCTTAAAATTTAGGGTTTGGGGCTCAGGCAGGTTTAAGGGCGCTTGTAGGGTTGAGGGTGAACCTGAATCTGGATGTTGTACCTGTTAAACCCAAATCACAAGCACAAAATCTCTCTCGTTCACAGTGCTGCCATTCTTGAAAGTTAATTTAAGGAAGCAACGTGATGTGTGTCCCTTGCTTCAAAACTGCTCCGCCCTAAGCAGTGGGAGCTGGAGGTGGGATTCAAAATTCTAAGCAGGGTTTCTGTCTAGCCTCATGAGTTGAAATGGTCGCGGCCATCGCCCGGAAATTTTCAGCTCTGACACACTTCACCACAGCTAGAACGGAAAAAATAAAATAAAATAACACATTGTTCAGAACCTTCTGCTTCTGGAAAGGGCAAGGGGGGGGTGTCCTAGAACCCCGAAACCCTTTTGGAAGCCTTCAACCGTATAAACCCCTCAACACCTTCTACGCCTCACAAGCCCGTGGCCCGCAAAAAGCCCGAACCCTAAACCCTGAACCCCAAACCCTAGACTGAAGCAAAGCGAAACACCCGAGGAACCAACAACTTCTGCATCTCCTGCTGCTTCACGTGGTCGAGCCTGGCGTGCAGAAAAGGGCCGTTAGGATTCAGGGTTTGAGGATGTGCTGAGTCTGGCTTTATGGGGTTTAGGGTTTAGGGTTTAGGGTTTAGGGTTTAGGGTTTAGGGTTTAGGGTTTAGGGTTTAGGGTTTAGTTTCGGGTTTGGGGTTTAGGGTTTCGGGTATAGGGTTTGGGGTTTGGGGTTTGGGGTTTGGGGTTTGGGGTTTAGCGTTTAGGGTTCCACAGTGGGGGGGCCTTCCTGCGCATGCGTGGCTTAGTGCATGGAAACTGGACCCTAAACCGTCCTAAACCCTCAACCCTCAACCCTCAACCCTAAACCCTAAACCCTAAACCCTAAACCCTAAACCCTAAACCCTAAACCCTAAACCCACCAACTGCAAGGCTCCCCGAAGAAGCACTCTGGGCACGCGGCTTCTTATTCAGCTCGGACAGGTGGCCGAGGTAGGCCTGAAGCGGCGTGAGCTCGAAGGGTTTAGGGTTTAGGGTTTAGGGTTTAGGGTTTAGGGTTTAGGGTTTAGGGTTTAGGGTTTAGGGTTTAGGGTTTAGGGTTTAGGGTTTAGGGTTTAGGGTTTAGGGTTTAGGGTTTAGGGTTTAGGGTTTTGGATGGTTTTGGGGGTTGCTCGGCTCGTCGGTGGTTCGGAGCACTTTTTCCACTGAACCCCTGCAAGTATTATACATTATATTTATATAGTATACACAAATAGTTCAGCCTTGAGCAATCTAGTTAAAACAATTTTACAGATGAGAGTGCATGTTCACCAACCCACCACCACCTGCACTCTAGGGGTTCTACCTTGGACCCTTCAGGTTGTACCCTCCGGTTTTGGGGTCACTGCTCAAGGATCTGTAAGGGAATATGAGGGCCAAATTAGGAGTATATTGGGTCACTGTTTAAGGATCTGTCAGGGAATATAAGGGCCAAATTAGGAGTATGTTAAGGGGGACCTTTAGGGGGTATCTCTTGACACCAGCACCCTGCACACAAAAACACCAGGAAGCGTGCCTCGTTGATCTCCTCCTCGCAGATCTGTCGGACCAGCTGTGGGCTCACCACTACCGAGCCGACCTCAAGGCACTCCAAGGGATGGGGTTAGGGTTTAGGGTTTAGGGTTTAGGGTTTAGGGTTTAGGGTGTAGGGTTTAGGGTTTAGGGTTTAGGGTTTAGGGTTTAGGGTTTAGGGTTTAGGGTTTAGGGTTTAGGGTTTAGGGTTTAGGGTTTCGGGTCTAGGGTTTCTGAGCCATTCGACTGCCACAGCGACAGCAGCGGGAGGGGAGTGGGGGAGCGCAACCGGCAAGCATTTCGTACTGGTAGAGAGTTTAGGGTTTAGGGTTTCGGGCTACAGGTCAAATTGGGGGCTGCCTCAAGGGTGTTATCTGCACTGTCGCCTTGCATCGGGAGTTGTCAAAAACCCTAAACCCCAAACCCCAAACCCCAAACCCCAAAACCCAAAACCCAAACCCCAAACCCCAAACCCTGAACCCTAAACCCCAAACCCTGAACCCTAAACCCCAAACCCCAAACCCCAAACCCCAAACCCTAAACCCTAAACCCTAAGCTGAGGCGAGACTTGAAGCTTGAGCACGAGGCGTAGTCGGACATCAGCGACTGCAGTGCCCTGCGGTTCTGCCTCAGCACGCAGTGGGTTCTATAGGGTATATAAGGGGTATATACAGGGGGTATATAAGGGAAAGAAAACGGGTAAAAAAAGGGATATATAACAGGTTTCTGGGGGGTACATAAGGGGTATAGAAGGGGTATATAGATATACAATTAAGGGGCCATATTAAGGGACCGTGCAACTACCCGAAGAATGCTGCAAAATGCCGGGCGCCCCATGGCTGCAGCAACTCCCCCTTTGGCCCCCCCTAAACCCTAAACCCTAAACCCTAAACCCTAAACCCTATTTTGGTGTTGCAGCATGCCTCAGTTCCAGCCACTGCATGTTGCTATGTACAACAGGGACTGAACGTCCCAGGGGTGCATAGGCACCCTTCGTGGAGGTGCAGTGGTCTCGGCACTTGAAGGTTCATTCGTGTACTTGTAAGCTTAGGGTTTAGGGTTTGGGGGTTTAGGGGTTTAGGGGTTTAGGGATTTAGGGTTTAGGGGTCTAGGGGTTTAGGGGTTTAGGGGTTCAGGGGTTCAGGGGTATAGGGGTGCTTGGGAGTAGGTTATAAGCACATCCACCACTGGCTCTGTCTTTGGGAACATTCCGAGGTCAGTCCTTGGACAGTCCGAACACGGAAATCAAGAGACTTTGGTCATCTTCCTCACGCAGCAGTTGGCTGTGGGGCAACGTCAAAGCCTCAGGCCAGTTGGAGGGTTCATGGGTACTTCTAAGTGGGGCTAGAAGTGGAGAAACTATGGTTTTATAACCTTAACTAGGGTACTTAGAACCCTACTTAGAAGTAGAGATGGACGGTGGAGAATCAGCATTTGCTCACACGACTCATGTGCTGAAGACGCTGAGGATGCTGCAATATGCCACGCAAAGCTGAGTGTATCGATGGCTTTCCTTCGTAGTTGCCCAACAGTGGCGTCCGTATCACAGAGGAAGACTGCAATGCTGTTGCCTGCCAGATAGCAGAATGAAAGCAAGAGGCTCTGCCCTGAACCCTAAACCCTAAACCCTAAACCCCAATCTAAACCGCATGGCGTCACAGTGGGCCTGCCATTCCTGTGCACTGAACTTCCAGCTCGTCGCCGAGCCAGACTGCCTCGTCAAAAGGCTTTGTGGGCGTCTGAAACAGAAGGGCTTAGGGTTTAGGGTTAGGGTTTAGGGTTGAGGGTTGAGGGTTGAGGGTTGAGGGTTGAGGCCCCCCAAAAACCCAACCCTTCATCCTGACCCTCGCCTGAAGCAGCAGCGCCAGGGTGCATCGACTGGGAACCGGCCGCAGCGTAATCTCGCCTTGGGTTGGGTTAGGGGCTTAGGGTTTAAGGGCTTAGGGTTTAAGGGCTTAAGGTTTAGGGTTTAGGGTTTAGGGTTTAGGGTTTAGGGTTTAGGGTTTAGGGTTTAGGGTTTAGGGTTTAGGGTTTAGGGTTTAGGGTTTGGGGTTCCTCGGGGGCGAGATGGGTTTAGGGTTTGGGGTTTAGGGTTTGGGGGTTTAGGGTGTGGGGCTTAGGGTTTGTAGGGTTTAGGGTTTGGGGTTTAGGCTTTGTGGGGTTTGGGGCGCTCATAGTAGGGAAAGAGGGAAGTAGGTAGCTTAGTTCAACATACGTGGTTTTAATATAGGGTACCTTATTCCCTACTAAGAGCCAGATAAAAGGGTTTAGGGTCCATAGTAGTATAGGGTATATAAATGAGCCCTTTGATGTTCACCTGTTCCTCAATCGTTCAGGGTCCAGGCAATTGCTTCAGAGTTGGACTAGCTTCGTCAGATCTTCCGAGAGGCCAATACCTCCGATTCTTGAAGGCTTCCTTATATCTGGATTACTATGCTGCCCTACTTGGAGGTTCATGGGTACTTCTAACCTCAATTAGAAGCCCACTTATAACCTACTTGGAGGACTTAGGGGACTGAGGGGGCTCAGAAGTAATTTCATTGGAGTTTTAAGTAGCCTCCCTAAACCCTAAACCCCAAACCCCAAACCCCAAACCCCAAACCCCAAACCCTAAACCCTAAACCCAAACCCTAAGATGGAACTAAGCGCACGGCGCAGGCAGATCCAGTAGTTGCGGGACTCCGGACGTTTGCAGTGAACAGTCCCCGTCAACGTGTGTCGGCCCCCCGACATGCCTCGCATGATGGATGGGATAGCATTAGGGTTTAGGGTTTAGGGCTTAGGGTTTGGGGTTTGGGGTTTAGGGTTTAGGGTTTAGGGTTTAGGGTTTAGGGTTTAGGGATTTCCTTTTTGAGTTTAAGTACCCTTGAAACTGCAAAATGTTCCCCCACTATGACGAAGATGCAATCCCAGTAGAGAATGTGATCATGAGGGCAGATGTTGAAGAGGCGGCTGTACTGGTCCACGTTGCCAATGAGGGTGCCGTCCATATACACGCTCAAGATTCCATGGTGTGGATTGCAGCCTCCCGTAAAGCCTGAAGGGCGGGGGGGGGGGGCTCGGCTGTTAAGCATGGAGCTAAGCTTGCCCTGATGCCCTCAAACCGAACAAAAGCTCCAAGGCGTGGATGGGCGTGGCTGAGGGCTGCACAAATCTCGTATCCTCCTCTCTCAGTCGTGACATCAAGCTCCCAGCTGTCTCCTGGCAAGGGCTCGTTCGAGTTTAGGGTTTAGGCTTAGGGTGGAGCTCGTAAGCGGGTCTAGGGTCTAGGGTTAGGGTTTAGGGTCGGAGTTTAGGGTTGTCGCATTTAGGGTTGTGTGAGGTTCGTTTGCAAGGGGAGTTCGTCCAAGACGTTCGCCGGTTCTGTAAACATGGTAGCTGCCAAGCATGAGCTCCCATCTGAAGCCCCATGGTTTAGGGTTTAGGGTTTAGGGTTTAGGGTTTAGGGTTTAGGGTTTAGGGTTTAGGGTTTAGGGTTTAGGGTTTAGGGTTTAGGGTTTAGGGTTGTGAGCCCTTTTTTTGATACCCGAAATGCGATAGCCCCCTTAAAGGGACCACCATAAAACCCCAAGACTACAAGGTAGCATACCATCGAAGAGGCCGTAATTTCGACTTCGCCCAAACTCCACGTCAACCACAAACCCTACCCTAAACCCTAACCCTAAACCCTAAAGCCTAAACCCTAAACCCTAAACCCCTCAACCTTCAACTGCCCTTTTCATGGACTCGGGTGCCTTCGCTCGGAGGGTTCTGGCCGTAGCCTTCGAAGTCCTGGGACTGCTGTTGCTCCTACTTGTGCATCATAAATCTGGGTTTAGGGTTTAGGGTTTGGGGTTTGGGGTTTAGGGTTTGGGGTTTGGGGTTTGGGGTTTGGGGTTTGGGGTTTGGGGTTTGGGGTTTGGGGTTTGGGGTTCGGGTTGTAGGTACGAACACGAGAGCAGAAAGAGAAAACCAGTGGAAGCATCGCGATAACCTGTCAAACACCCCTAAACCTCAACCCTCAACCCTCAACCCTCAACCCTCAACCCTCAACCCTCGACCCTCAACCCTCAACCCTCAACCCTCAACCCTAAACCCTAAACCCTAAACCTACATCTGAACCTGCAGTTCGGGTGCTGGGTGGCCTCCCACCAAAATGGGTGACAGGGGCACCTTAGTTGCTGAGTTCATAAGCCCGAAACAAGCTGTACACTTTCAGTTCTATAGGGGGCTTTAGGGTTTAGGGTTTAGGGTTTAGGGTTTAGGGTTTAGGGTTTAGGGTTTAGGGTTTAGGGTTTAGGGTTTAGGGTTTAGGGTTTAGGGTTTAGGGTTTAGGGTTTAGTGTAAAGTGTACTCACTCAGCTATTAAGGCACCCCGTGGAGGATGCGAACCTGGTCGTCCAAGCTGACGACCACGGGCCTTCGCACATCCACGGCCTGAGTTTGGTTGAGATCAACTTCCTGGTTTTGTAGGGCTTGGGATTTTGGGTTTGAGGCTTAGGGTTCAGGGTTCTGGGTTCAGGGTTCAGGGTTCAGGGTTCAGGGTTTAGGGTTTAGGGTTTAGGGTTTAGGGTTTAGGGTTTAGGGTTTGAGGTTTAGAGCTTAGGTTTAGGGTTTAGGGAACTGCGCGCATGAACGTCCTACTGAAGCAAGCGGTTCAACACACTCCATCAGCTGCAGCCCTGCCAGGCATTCGACTCAAAACTGATCGGAGTGTGGACCGAAAGTCACAAAAAATGAAAACTAAATACATCTAATAATCCTACTAATAATAACTATAATAATAATAATAATAATAAGAATAAACTAAACCCTCAACCCCAAACCCACGCGGCTTTCTCTTCCATGCCACCAAAGAAGCCTTCTCTTGCTCTGGTGCACGCCAGGCCTTCACTCGAACCGCCGGCTGCTTCGCCTGCTTTGCCGGACCTTGGCTTCCGAACTTCTGAGCCCTAAAGGGGGAGGGTTTAGGGTTTAGGGCCATGTGCTACGGATCCTCATTGGGGAGTCTCCTCTGATTGCCATGGCCTATTCAATGGAACCCTAAACCCTAAACCCTCAACCCGAAACCCTAAACCCTAAACCCTAAGCCCTGATTTCTTCTCTGCCAGATAGCTCTTGACTGGGCTGCCTCGTGCACGCGTCGTCGCCTGCAAGCTTCCCATCGGGTGCTGCAGATGCCGAGGTCTGTCATGGAACGCCCTTAGCTGTTCCCAGATACCTTAAACCCTAAACCCTAAACCCTAAACCCTCAAGCTCCTTATATTGTAGTACTACTAGGGGCCTGGACCAGGGGCCCTTTGAACACCCTTAGCTAATTACGGGGCATTGCATCTTGCATCTTTCTTGTATTGGAGTCTCTAGGGAAATCTCAGAAAACTGCGCGACAGCTTGCATGCATGGTCTGACTCTAAAGCATGCTGCCAAGGGTCTACAGGCCGTCTGCGCCGCACAAAGCGGCTGAATCCAAAGCAGTCTGCATGGCTCTCTATATCCTAAACCCTGAACCCGAAACCCCTGAACCCTAAATCCTAAACCCTAAACCCTAAACCCCACAGCAAGGTATCCAGGGCTTGACCTGCAAATGGCAGAGCCAGCTCTGTTTGCGCTACGGGCTCAACCACGCTAGGTTCCCCAACCCGAAACCCGTAAACGCAACACTGGTGGGGGGTTTAGGGCTTAGGGTCCAGGGTTTAGGGTTTAGGGTTTGGGGTTTAGGGTCTAGGGTTTAGGGTTTAGGGTTTGGGGTTTCGGGTTTAAGATTTAGGGCTTAGGGTTTAGTTCGCCTTTCGGGTTCAGGGTTGAAGGCTTCTCCCCAGGAACCAGGAACTACATTGGCCGTTGAAAGGGCCAGCCTAATTTCAAGCATGCCGAGAAAATTATTCATAACCGGCGCTCTATAGCAGCATTATAGCCGTGGTTACTTCTAATTTGTTTATCTTCAGAATCTAAAATTGGAATTTCCCTGAACCCTAAGCTTTCAAGCTTCGTTCGCTTCACCGTGGCTCGCACAGCTTCAAGTTCATCTGGAGAGAGTCGCCCTTGCACAGAGGCCGCCCATTTCAAGTGGATCAGATCCTACTGCACCTCATATTCTACGCACACTAGGCTAGATGGCCACCACCCCCCCCCCCCCCCCACCCCAAAAAAAAAAGAATATATATATATATATATTAATAATACATAAATATAAAATTTAAAAAAAACTATTCAAAAAAAACTTGGTCAAAGGCCTGCAGCATGCGAATCTCATCCGAGATGGTGGAGAGGTCGGACTGAAACCTGTCAAGTTTAGGGTTTAGGGTTAGGGTTTAGGGGTTTGGGGTTTGGGGTCTAGGGTTTAGGGGGTTTTAAGGTTTGAGGGGAAACACGAACTACGAATATTTGCACTTTGCACATTGCCCGCAAGAGCTGGGTGACAACTTTTCACTTTTCCCTGGCCACGGTGGCGGTTTCACTAATACTTGGGGGGGGTTTGCTCTGAATGAGGGCCGCATTATAGCTACCTTACACACTCGCACCTTACAAAAGGCTCCCGCTCCCCCTCTCCAAACCCCCCGTTAAAATTGTGCACAGGAACTATCATGAATTTAGAAGAACCCTTGCAGGTGGGCGTTTCCACAATAAGAGACTGGGCAGTTCCCTCGTGTTCGGCGTCCAACTCAGCCGAGGCCCAGCGTTGCACACCATGTAGACATGCCGGGCAGGCGTCCCCAGTAACCTCTCCATCCTCAGCATCACAACAGCCAGATCTTCCTCTCTCTCTTTCTCTCGCCCTCTTTCTCCCTCTCTCTCTTGCTGGCTTGCTTTGCAGCGCATATGACCCCCAGAGGGGATCGCAGCAAGGGGCATGCTCCACCGAGTACGTCGGTGTGATACTGTGTGATACGGTGCTGTGGGGCACTCCCTCTTTTTTTTGTTGCTCAGCGAAGAGGCCCCCCGAAGAGGACCCCGGCCACGCTGGCCCGCTGCTCTGTCCAGGTGAAAGTTTAGGCACCGTACGTTGACGGCCCTATGCGGTGGAATGCTGTGTCACCACTCTTTAAGACACAAGACTTGGCACTAACACGGGTCCCGAGTGCCTCTCTCTCTCTCTCTCTCTCGTTCGCTCGCGCTCTGTCTCTCTCTCTCTCTCTCGCTCTCTCGCTCTCTCTCTCTCTGTCTCTCTCTCTCTCTCTCTCTCTCTCTCTGCTACTACATCCCTCTCACTCTCACCCTCGCCCTCACGCCAGCTCCGCAACCAAACAGCCTGCGGAACCTCTCAAGTCACCCAGTCTTGGGGTCTCACTTCTCCAACACAGCGTCGGTGGCCAGAATCTCCTGATGGAGGTCCTGCAATGTTACGGGCCAGCGGTTGCGGAAGGAAACTCCATACCCTAGTAGCCGAGTAACCATCTTACTAATGAGGGTACCCATTTTTGGTTGCTCATCTTAGCTTACTAATAAGGGTCCCCATTTTTTGCTGCTTATGTTTAGAAGGGAACCCAGAACCGAAAAAAGGGTCCAGGGCACCACTGGGCTACCAAGCCCCAGACTAGTCCGGGACCAACGCAGAGAAACTTTGCAAAACAACCCTAAACCCTTAAGCCCGAGAGCCTTAAAATCCCCAACCCCTAAACTCTGAACCCTGAAGCCTAATTCCAAATCTAAGCCCTGAGGTCTAAACCCTAAATCCTACTTGTACTTGGAGGTTCCGAAACCCTAAACCCGAAACCCTATTTAATGCATGGCTTAAGGGGACTTTTTGCTTTAAAGAGAATTTCTGATTCTGGCGTGGGGGAGGGGGATTGGGGTGAACCACGACCCCTGCAGCTTAAAAGGCAGCTTACAAGGGCTAAACCCTAAACCCTAAACCCAACACCCTATACCCTAAGCCACTTGGGTTTTGTGTACAAGAAGCTCCTGGAAGAGCGAAAGGAGACGACCAAATACTTGGGATTCCTGTGAAGGAAATTCATATCACCCCATACACCCCATGTTAAGGTGCCTTCAACTTGGGATTACTGTGAAGGAACTTAATATCACCCCTTATCCCCATTTTAAGGTGCCTTCAACTCGGGATTTCTGTGAAGAAACTTGATAGAACCCTAAGCTCGATTGTAAGGTGCCATCAATCGGGAAACAGTACTCGCAACCTTCTTACTGCACAGCCGCAGTTTGAAAAGCGTCCGAAGCTTCTGGGGCCTGGAAGGAATCAAAGCTGGCGACGTAGTCTCCCACCTGAGCATCTGCAGCTTAGCCCCTAAACTGCAACCACTAAATCCATGGGGTATGTGGGTATTTCTTCAAATAGGGGTACCCTTCATATGCCCCAGAATAGAATAAATCCTTGTTACAGAACCCCCCCCCCCCCCCCCCAAAAAAAAAAAAAAAAAAAGTACCCCGATTTTTGGAAGCCCCCAGGAAAGGCGTAGGAAACCCCTTACTATTATCCTCTACAGGAATCTGCAGTCGGACTAGCTTCAACAGCTTCGCGACCTCTGGAAGCCCCAACCCCAGTAGAGCCCTAAACCTAAACCCTTAAACCCCAAATCCCCAAAACCTAAACCCTAAACCCTAAACGTCCGTCACTTGGCACGCCACGCTTTCCTCCTCCAGGAGCAGAAGCTGGCTGTCGATGTTGGAGGCGACCCTTTTCCTTGGGTCTCGGGGGATCCTGTGCCCTGGGGTTAGGGGTTCGGGTTTAGGGCTTAGGGTTTAGGGTTTAGGGTTTCGGGTTTCGGGTTTCGGGTTTCGGGTTTCGGGTTTAGGGTTCAGGGCTTAGGCCTTAGGGTTTAGGGTTTAGGGTTTTGGGTTTAGGGTTTAGGGATTAGGTTTGGGTTTAGGGTTGGACCCTTGAGGTTGTACCCTTGGGTTGGGGTCCCTTTTTAAGGATCCCTAAGGCAATATAAGGGATCCATATTAGGAGTATGTTAAGGGGAACCTTTCGGGGGTACAAGCTTAGGGGTACGAGTCTTCATCCCTTGACTGGGGGAGGGGGGGGGATCCTGGGCGTTAAGCCCTAATCCTTAGACAAGCTTTCTTTGAAGACTACATGTAGAGCACCCACTATTTGTTCGCACGTTTTTGTTCGCGCCCGCATCTACGGATTCTAAGATGGCCGAAGAGAGAATCCCTAAACCCTATAGGACTAGATGAAGGGTATACTGTAGCTATAACAGCGTGTAAAGTCGCCTCTGCACCTCAAGCGCCATAGGCTGCAGGGTTCATCTGCAGGTTCATGGCTGCTTGAAAGTAGGATTTCGGGTTTGGGGTCCAGGGTAGGGGGTCGATCTCAATAATAGCAGGCCTTTTCGTGCCTCTACTCTAGCGCATGCTTTCTAGCTGCAGGTGCCAGAAAGACATGTAAATTTACAACTCGAACCTTAAACAGCTCTTAAGGCTTATATATATATATATATAACATACAACAAATCATATATTGAAAGATACAAACATAGTGTGTGTGTGTGTACATATAATAGAATGATATACATCTACATAAATACATGCATATATATATATATACATATACAATATAGGGAAGAAGGATTGAAATTGAAACCCAGGTTTTACACTGGGCCTCCCGACGTCTCACGTACGCCCTGCTCGAGGGCAGCCGCGACGGGATCGTCCTGTGTGAGACTACCCTACTTGGAGGTTGCCCCTCCTAGGTGCTTAGGGAAGAAATCCCGTGACCCTGATGAACAACCCTAAACCCTAAACCCTAAACCCTAAACCCTAAACCCGAAACCCGAAACCCTAAACCCGACCCTAAACCGTAAACCCTAAAACCCTAAACCCTAAACCCCCTGTTCCCCGAGGCGCAAAGTGCAAACTCGTGGTCCTTGGGAGCATCGCCGCTCTGCGCGGCTCCTAGCCTGGCAGTCATCGGCTTTTAAGGCTTAGGGTTTCGGGTTTAGGATTTAGGGTTCAGGATTTGGGGTTTAGGGTTTAGGATTTAGGGTTTAGGGTTTAGGGTTTCGGGAAACTTTCAACTTCCGTCCAAAAACGCCTGAGGCGCTTTCTCATAACACTTTGTGCCCTCAACCCTGCAGCCTTCCAACCTTACAAGGTGGGTTTGCAGTGTTTGGAGAACTAAGAGGGTTTGGGGTTCAAAGGGCTTTTCAAGGCCTGGAGGGTTTGGAGGGCCTACTTCCTGAAGGCCCTGGCTCCCACAGGCCCAAGTGGCAGCTCGTGAAGATCTGAAAAGTCCATGGGCCTCGGGGGGGGGGGGGGGGGGGGTGGGACAGGGTTTAGGGTTTAGCAAGTCTCGGGTTGAGGGGCTTAGGGCTGTCAGGGTCTGAGGTGGAAGTTGGAGGCTTTGGATCGTTTGGCGCGAGGTTGGAGGGTCGAGGATACCAAGGGCCCAAGCGCATGCTGAGGTTTAGACGTCGGCTTGCGGGTTGGGCCCAAACCTTCAGCCCTAAACCCAAACCCTAAGAAATCACAAGTATGGAAACTGTTCATTCAAGGTGCTTCTCACTCATAAACTCTTCCTAAGCCTAAGCCCTTGAAACGGAAGCCACATGTACTCTCAAGTAGGCGCCGAGCTCAAAGAAGGCGCCCACATCCTGTGCCATGCTGGCCAGTGTTCCTTGAAACGAAGATTTGCGAGGCAAGGGTTAGGGTTAAGGGGTTGGGGGGTTCAGCGTTTGGGGGGTAATAGGTTTTTGTAGTTTGGAGGTTAAGGCCTTTAGGGATTAGGGCTTTCTAGTAGGGGGACTAAGGAGTTTAGGCTCTAGGGCTTGGGGGTGTTCAGAGGGTTTAGGGTTTGGAGGGGATTTAGAGTTTGGGGATGAAACGGCTTTACAGTAGGGTCTAGGGCTTTGAAAGTTCTAGCATGGGTTAAGGGGTTTCAGGGTTGCTTGCTTTAGGAGGGAGGGAGAGGGGATCGTGCTGCGTCATCTCCCACGTCCCCTGTGTCCCGGCAAAAAAAGGCCCCGGCAGGCTGCTGGCATGAACCCCAGAGGGGTCGGCACTTTGGCTTGCACAGAGTGCTTACGCGGCCTTACCCCACGCTTTTCGAAACAGCTTAAGTGTTACGGAGTATTCCTTAAATTCTTCGTCTGGCTTAAGGCAGGATACGAGTAGATTGCCAGAAGGACCTGAACCCTAAACACTAAACCCATAATGAGCTGTTTTGGAGTCTTTGAGGAGTCTGCGAACCGGTCGTTGCTTGCCCTACACAGTCCCGCAATGGCTGCAATAAAGACTGATCGGCAGGAGGTTGGAAGTCAGTGCCTAGCAAGCTTGTCGGGGGGTTGTCCAAGAGAGTGCAGGGTTTGGGGTGTAGGGTTAAGGGTTAAGGGTTTAGGGTTTGGGACTTAGTTTAGGCTATATTATGCCCAAGAAGGGTACCCAGAATGTAGATCAGCGTGTGCATCAAAGTGATTGCAGGGTGCAAGCGCCCTTCTTTTGCCCGGGCACGCAGGGAACGTCTTGCCGCAACCCACGCCTTTTCGTCATCAGCAATCCAATTTGCGAGACTACTTGCTTAAGAACCCCCCAAAAGAATAAACATGTTCTTCCTTAAAAGGCCAATATAGGGATCATTTCTTCTTTTGGCTTTTGGGGGGATTCTTAAGCAAACAGTAGAGAATGAGTGGGGGACGCAGCTCTGAACCGACGGCGAGTTCCTGTCCATGTCACTGTGACTTCTTTGGAGACCAAGCATTGCATTGCCTCCTTGGAATGTTCCCCCTTATACTAGCAGTCCTTAATGGGGATTATAATAGGGGGTACTATAATCCCGATTAAGGACTGCTAGTACAAGGGAGAACATCCCAACTGCCTCCCGTTCTATGCTCCTTCGCAGCATTGCAGGAAACCCCTCAACCCTGAAGTAAGAACCCCTAAACCCTAAACCCTAAACCCTAAACCCTAAACCCTAACCAGATCCCATGGCCTCCGCGGAAGTCCTAGTCGTCCTCCTTCGGAATCGGAGGCGCCATCTCGCCGAGGTCTTCGGGCAGCGGCTTCTCATCCTCCTCGTAATCCTGAGGCGGCAGAGTTCAGGAACGAGGGTTCAGGGTTTAGGGTTTAGGGTTTAGGGTTTCGGGTTTAGGGTTTAGGGTTTAAGGGTTTAGGGCTCAGGGCTTAGGGTTTAGGGTTAGGGGTGGGAGTTAAGGCTTTTGGCTGCTTTGCAGCGCTACTACTGACCCCAAGACTTGCAACATCAAGAGAGCACCAGGCACACCGGCGCCACTGGCTTGTAGGGTTTGGGTTGAGGCTTTAGGGTATAAGGATGACTCTCTTCTTATGTTCTGGATATGTGCCTCTACCTATGAATGGTCTCATTCGTCTTGTTGTTTCTTCTGATTCTTGCTGCGGCTTGCATGAGGCCCGGTCCTGTCCGATGCCATCTCGCTCTCTCCCTTTTATCGTTCTCTCTCTCTCTCTCTCTCTCTCTCTCTCTCTCTCTTTACAAAGCAACACGCATCGGGGCGTCAAGAAACTCCATGTTATCAGTCCTAAACTTCTCGACCCTCGAAGAGCGCATCTGAGCCCCGAAACCCTAAACCCCAAACCCCAAACCCCAAACCCTAAACCCTAAACCACAAACCCTAAACCCTAAACCCTAAACCAAACCCTAAAGCCTTAACCCTAAACCCTAAACCATGAGAGCCCGTTGGCCCAAGGCCCCGGCGTAGTCTCGCGAGGCGCGCGCGGCTCGCCAACCGCCCGCTCCGGAACTTGGACCTGAGGTCGGACATGCTAAGGGGCTGTTAGGATTTAGGGTTTAGGGTTTAGGGTTTAGGGTTTAGTTACGCCCTCGGGGGGTTTAAGGGTTTGCTTCTTGGGCGTTTAAGGGGAGTTAGGGGGGGGGGGGGGGGTTGGAGGTTAGGGTTTCGGCGTGTAGGGGATGTAGGGTGTAGGGGATGTAGGGAATTTAGGGAATTTCTTTTCAGGCTTCCAGGCGGTTCGGGGCTCGAGACGCAACAAAAGGGCCCCGGGCCAACTCGCCGGCGCGGCGAAGGTGAGCGGCTCTTCTTGCGCCCTGAAGAATCATGGGGGTTCAGGGTTTAGGGTTTGGGGTTTAGGGTTTAGGATTTAGGGTTTTGGGTTTAGGGTTCAGGGTTTGGGGAGGCTGCAAGGTGATCTCAGGATGGTTGGGATTTCGGGCTCAGTGAGTCTTCAGGGGGGTTTCAGGCGTTTTCAGGCGTTTTCACGATGTTGAGGGGTTTAGGTTCACGGCGTATGTGCCCTAAACCCTAAACCCTAAACCCTAAACCCTAAACCCTAAACCCTAAACCCTAATAGGCTCCATCCTTGAGCCCTCCAGGGTTCCTCGAGAAACCCATCGCCCCAAGACCCGAACCTCCGAAACCCTAAACCATGTGGGGTTTAGGGTTTAAGGTTAGGGTTTAGGGATTAGGATTTAGGGTTTAGGGTTTAGGGTTTAGGGTTTGGGGTTTGGGGTTTGGGGATTGGGGTTTGGGGTTTGGGGTTTGGGGTTTGGGGTTTGGGGTTTGGGGTTTGGGGTTTGGGGTTTGGGGTTTGGGGTTTGGGGTTTGGGGTTTGGGGTTTGGGGCCTCTCAAAAACCCCACTCGGGACCCCACACAACCTCTGAGAAAGACTCTTTTCGGATCTTGAGGCTTGGGGCTTCGGGCTTAGATCATGGGGAGCTTCATCTTGGTAGCCCAGAAACCATCAGTGACAATAAGGGTTCTATACATGATAAGTGAACCTTGAACCAAGAAAAGGCAAAAAGGGTACCACTGGGCCACCAACCCTAAACCCTAAACCCTAAACCCTAAACCCTAAAGCCGAAACCCTAAACCCTAAACCCTCAAGCCCAAACACCCGAAAAATCCTGATCCCCATCTGGCCTGGTCGGACGGGGCTCTTTGGTCGGAGCACGTCAATCTCGGCAATGCTCCTTTAGTGTTTTGCGGGGTTTAGGGTTTAGGGTTTAGGGTTTAGGGTTTAGGGTTTAGGGTTTAGGGTTTAGGGTTTAGGGTTTAGGGTTTAGGGTTTAGGGTTTAGGGTTTAGGGTCCGCCGACCCTGGCGATCTGCTGGATGGGTTTGGGAGGTGCCCCCCTACCCCGGTTGGCTCTTTCTGGTTTGCGGCCTCTTTGGTCGGTGGATGTGGGTGGCATGATCCGGAGGCCTTAGGGGTTTAGGGTTTAGGGTTTAGGGTTTAGGGTTTAGGGTTTAGGGTTTAGGGTTTAGGGTTTAGGGTTTAGGGTTTAGGGTTTAGGGTTTAGGGAACCCTCGAATCGTGGCCACAGTACCCCCCGCCCACAGCCCAGGGGTTTCGAGTCGATGGCTGGCCGTTGACGGTAAGGCAGCCGAAGACATGAACCCAAGTCCTCAAACCCCTGGGGTTTCGGGCTTAAGAATCAGAACCCTTTAGCCCGACTAGAACCCCTGAAACTCCAAAAACCCTAAACCCTAAACATCCCTGCAACACAGCCGTGCTCCCGAGGAGTCGCCCGCCCTTGTAGTCTTGCACCTGCGAGCGCGGTGCAAAGGACTGGCTATAAGGCGTCCTAGGTTGGATTACGGGGGACCCTTGAAAGGGAACCCTTCTGAACCCTCTTTTGGCTCTCCTAAACAGGGACCTTATTCAGAGGGTCTATATCCCCAAGGGTCCCCGTAATCCTATCCCCTAATAAGGGGGTTTCCACAATCAAGAGGTACCTTAGTGGGGTCCTATAAGGGAATCCTGCTTGTGGGGGGATTGTTAGGGGTCCCTTTTTTCGTAAACCCCCATAAGGACTTGTATAAGGCTTAGGGTTTAGGGTTTAGGGTTTGGAAGATGCGTAGGACAGAATCACGGCACAGCCCAACATTCTAGCCCTTGTGACCCAGAAAGAAGACCACAGCGTCTTGAGAAAGGGCAAGGAAAAGGGGGAGGACAGTCAACCAGGGAGGCTCATCCCAAGCACCCTTTTGCAAAACTCAAAACCACAAGCGCAGCCTGTGCGCGAACATGCACAAAAGACCGCCTACTTGGAGGATGGGAAGTTCACGGGAATCCAAATTAATTAAAGTAAGTAAATTGGTTGAATTGTTGAATTACTTCGATTGATCAACAACTAACTAATTAGATTAGTTTTAACTAATGCAATGAATTAAAGTATGTATTTGGACTACATTAGGTAAATGAATTTTATGTATTATAGACAATGATAGTTAATTGAAATACAAAAAATATCTAAATGAACTAAATTAAATACAACATTAAGTTCATAACGAAATTCATACAGCTAATTCCCATTTTAACTACTACAGTTAATGCCAATTCAAACTTCTATCATATTAGTATTTACTCGGACCCAAATTTGGGCTTCGGGTCTGCAGCGGCGCCTCTGGCCACTGCTTCTCGCCCTCGAACCACTTGAGGTAGGTCTGCACAGGTCAGAAAACGGTCGGGCAGCTGTGGCTTGCGGGCAAGCTGCTGTTCAGGGTTTAGGGTTTAGGGTCTAGGGTTTGGGGTGTAGGGTTTGGGGTTTAGGGTTTAGGGTGTAGATCTAGGGTTTAGGGTTAAGGTTTAGAGCGCCGAACAGCGAGACCCTCAATCCCCCCATCCCGTGTTCTCTGCCTCTTTGTCCCAGTTGTCAGTGGTGAGGCCATTGCCCAGAGTGAGCCAGCCTGCACAAGAACCCACTCATGGAAGTTTCGCGCGGTCTGTGGGGGGTTGGTTACGTTGCGGTAAAGAGTTCCGACCTGGCGGAATACTGCGAATCAGAATCGAAATGAGAAGGTCTTGCATCGGGTCGACTCTATGCAAAGATCAAAGAACCTACGCGTACATAGCACTGGAGGTGTAGAGAGAAAGCCAGGGGGATAGCGAGAAAGATGGTGGGAGGGGGAAAGGACAGAGCAAGAGAGGCACTACAAAGGTAAAAACGACCAAAAAGAAGCCTCTGACAACGAAGGCCAATTTGACCTGCTTGAAGTCTCCCTAAACCCTAAACCCTAAACCCTAAACCCTAAACCCTAAACCCTAAACCCTAAACCCTAAACCCTAAACCCTATGGTCCCGGAGAGAAGAAACCAGAAGCCACGGTCGGCCAACAGTGACAAGGCGACTCGGAGAGAGCGAGACAGAAGAGAGAAAACAGAGAGACCCTAAACCCTAAACCCTAAACCCTAAACCCTACACCCGAAAAGAAAAAAAGAATATAGGGATTCTTTCAAGCATCATATATGGGCAGCCTCCCATGGACGAAGTACTATTCGAGTCTCTGGGTATCTAAAATGCTCAACCCGAAACCCTACACCCTGAACCCCAAACCCTAAACCCTAAACCCCAAACCCCAAACCCTAAACCCTAAACCCTAAACCCCAAACCCCAAACCCGAAACCCTAAACCCTAAAACCCAAAACCCCAAAAACCCAAACCCCAAACCCGAAACCCTAAACCCTAAAACCCAAAACCCCAAAAACCCTAAACCCTAAACCCGAAACCCTAAACCCTAAAACCCAAAACCCCAAAAACCCTAAAAACTAAACCCTAAACCCCAACCCCAAAAACCCCAAAAACCCTCACCCGCAAACCCCCCAAACTCGTCATCCCCCCGCTGCCCCCGAAGTGGAGCCTTCACGGCCCCTGGCCCAGGCTTGGAACCCCGAACCCCGGCTAGGGGTTAGGGTTTAGGGTTTAGGGATTAGGGATTAGGGTTGAGGGTTTAGGGCCTAGGGAACTCGGACTCCGCAGGGTTCATCCCCCTGGTGGATGGCCTGAATTTCCTCCTACCTTACATTGGGGCTTAGGGGTTTCAGGGTTTAGGGCTTAGGGCTTAGGGTTTAGGGTTTAGGGTTTAGGGTTTAGGGTTTAGGGTTTAGGGTTTAGGGTCCAGAGCTTGACCCCCTGTAGTCCCTCAAAGAGGCCCGGGCCATCCCGGAGGTTGCGATCGCGGCCGAAGAGCTCGAGGCGCCTCCGCGGGTGAGCGCATCACCAAGGGAGGGGTTTCGGGTTTAGGGTTTAGGGTTTAGAGTTTAGGGTTTAGGGTTGAGGGTTTAGGGTTTAGGGTTTAGGGTTTAGGGTTTAGGGTTTAGGGTTTAGGGTTTAGGGTTTAGGGTTTAGGGTTTAGGGTTTAGGGTTTAGGGTTTAGGGTTTAGCGCTTAGGGTTTAGGGTTTAGGGTTTAGGGTTTAGGGTCTAGGGTCTAGGGTTTAGGGTTCTTGTGGGATCCGAAGTATGGGCCCTTAATTTGGGTCCCCTGTTATATAACCCTTAGATCCACTATACACAATAAGAGTCCCTGCTATAGAACCCTTATATGCACTCTACAGAATAAGGGCCCATTCTTCGGACCCCTTTAAATCCCTTGAAACAAGGCTTTAGGTCTAGGGCTTAGGGCTTAGGAGGGGTTAAGGCTAAAGGGACTGAGTTCACAACGACGATGCCTAGTGACTCATATATATATATATATATGTATATGTATGCAAACATATGCGAAATTTGATGAATATACATAAATATGTATATATATATATATATATATATTTATTTATTTATTTATTTATACGTATACACACATATATGTATGTATGTATATATCAGCATGAAAAATCGATGCAAATTTCGTCTGTTGAAAGGAGCATCGGCAGGCGGCATTTGCAAACAAACGCAGCATTTCGGTCTCGTGAACCACGCAAGAACCTCACTAGACCCGAACTAAACCCTAAGTAAACCCGAACGAAACCCAAACTAAACCCGAATTGAACCCTAATTGATTCCCGTATCCCTAAGCCCAGCAGAAGGAGGCAAACATGAATCACGCATCCCCCGGGACGGCGCACACTGGTGCGATTCTTTTTGGTTGCTGGCTTGCTGTCTTACTGCAGGCGCTTTACTCCTTTGGGGGTTCAGGGTTGGGGGTTGTTGAGGAATTGAGGGCTGGGGCTCACAAGATTCTGAGGTTAGTGTACTCTGGAGTGCGGGAAGATGAGGGCAGACCCAATGCTGCGATTCAAGAATGCCAACCCCCGAAGCCCTAAAGACCTGCAAGCTGAGCTTTCAAAGCCCTTCGCCTTTGCTAGAGAAGAAACGAAGCCCCAAACCCGAAACCCTAAATCCTAAACCCGACGAGTGAACCCGACATCCTAGCCCCTAATTCAACCCGAAACCCTTAACCCTAAATCCTGAACCCTAAACCCTAAGCCCTAAGCCCGAAACCCTAACCCCGACCCTTCAAACAAGTTATCACGGGGCTCCTTTCCCATCTCCCTGGGAGGCAGCCTTCGGCCCAAGCAGAAGTGCTCAATGGTCTCGTACAGCCTGGGGGTCTGGTTGGGTTTTAGGGTTTCGGGATTAGGGTTTAGGGTTCAGGTTTAGGGTTTAAAGTTTAGGGTTTCGGGTTTCGGGTTTAGGGTTTGGGGTTTGGGGTTTAGGGTTTAGGGTTTAGGGGTCCACCCTAAAGCCCCTAAGAACCCTCAACCATACAAATCTCAACCACAAGCCCCTCAACCCCAAAAACACCTAAGGTGTGGCAGAACCCTAAACCCTAAACCCTAAACCCTAAACCCCAAACCCCAAACCCTAAACCCTAAACCCGAAACACTAAACCACTCTTTCATATATAATATAAATGTTAATGACTTTGCGGGCAAGGTCATATATTTAGCGGGCAAGGTCCTATATGTAGCGGGCAAGGTCATATATTTAGTGGGCAAGGTCATATATTTAGCGGGCAAGGTCATATATTTAGTGGGCAAGGTCCATTGGCTAAAAAATGACCTTGCCCACTAAATATATGACCTTGCCCGCTAAAGGGCGACCTTGCCCACTAAATATATGACCTTGCCCGCTAAATATATGACCTTGCCCGCTAAATATATGACCTTGCCCGCTAAATATATGACCTTGCCCGCTAAATATATGGCCCGGGCCAGGTCATATATTTAGCGGGCAAGGTCATATATTTAGCGGGCAAGGTCATATATTTAGCGGGCAAGGTCCTATATTTAGCGGGCAAGGTCCTATATTTAGCGGGCAAGGTCCTATATTTAGCGGGCAAGGTTATATTTAGCGGGCAAGGTCATATATTTAGCGGGCAAGGTCATATATTTAGCGGGCAAGGTCATATATTTAGCGGGCAAGGTCATTATTTAGTGGGCAAGGTCCCCCCCCCCCTCCAGCCCCCCCCCCCCCCCCCGCACCCCCCCCCACCCCCAACCCCCCACCCCCCCCACCCCCCCCCCCCACCCCCCCTCCCCCCCCCCCCCCCCCCCCCCCCACCCCCCCCCCACCCCCCCCCGGAGCCCTCAAAAGAGTCAAGCGATTCAAGATGGCTTCCAAAGAATAAGTTTCCGAATGACCGCGCCTGTTTTTGAGGCCCCTGAAGCCCCTCAAACGACTCAAGAACTCAAGATGGCTTCCAAAGAATAAGTTCCCGAATGGAAACATGTGGTTAACAAATCCATTCTGTTGACCACGTTGGTTTTCTTGTCCGCTTGAAACAGAAACATGTGGTTGACAAATCCATTCTGTTGACCACGTTTGGTTTTCTTGTCCGCTTGAAACAGAAACATGTGGTTAACAAATCCATTCTGTTGACCACGTGCCTAGAGAAGAAGGAGGTTGGATACTTTTCCTAATGGTGTGGGACCCAATGGGCGGGTGGGTATTCCCCTGTGGCCTTGAAAGCTGCTCAACTGGTGAATGCTTGGACCAGAGATGCTGAACCCTAAACCCTAAACCCTAAACCCTAAACCCTAAACCCTAGCCTTTCTGAGTGTGAGGCTCAGTTGGCTTGTGCGTCGAGCCGAAGCCCTTCTCTTCCTGAAATGGGTCAGGGCGAGTGGGGAAAACCATCATCGTAACCGTATGCCAGCAGTTCTCATGAGAGTAAGAGTAAGAGAAAGAGCAAGAGCAAGAGTAAGAGTAAGAGTTTTGAAGTGGGTTTGCTAACCCTAAACCCTAAACCCTGAACCCCTTTGCAAGGGTTCTAAGAGTAATTGTAGTTTGATGATCAGCGCTTTTCGGGTTGAGCCCCCCAGGATGGGTACCAGTCCTCCATGATGAGGTCCACGTCGCAGTTGGCGTGGATGAAGTGCGTGTCTATGGACCGCTTCACGGTCCCCTGAACTCCGCATTCCGGAGTCGGAGGGTTTAGGGTTTAGGGTTTCGGGGTTTCGGGGTTTGGGGTTTTAGGGTTTAGTGCTTTGGGTCAAAAACTCCAAAGCCCAGGTCAATCGGCAACTTGGGATGTCCCCGTATACTAACAGTCCTTAATGGGGCATATAATTGGGAGGGGGGGTACTATCATCCCTACTAAGGACTGTCCTTAATAAGGATTAGAATAAGGGTATACTTTCATCCCTCATAAGGACTCTTCGTATAAGGGGGAAACATCCCAACAGGTGACTCACAGGCCTTCACTCCAACGAGGCAATGCTCCTTCGTTCTCTGGATGATGGAGGTGTCGCCATACATGACGCTCTGCTGCCTGGCATCCCCGCCAGACGCGGCTTCTGCGGGGCTTTGGGTTAGGTTTAGGGTTTAGGGTTTAGGGCTTAGGGTTTAGGGTTTCGGGTTTAGGGTTCAGGGTTTAGGGTTTAGGGTTTCGGGTTTCGGGTTTGGGGGGTAGGGTTGAGGGTTTAGGGTTTAGGGTTGCAGCAACTACACAGCAGGTCAATCGGTGTCGGCGCACTTGACAGTACCCCTGGCATCCAGCTTGGCTTGGCGGTTCGTCTTCACCCAGCAGATGTCCTTCGAAACGTGGGTGTTTCTCTGTGCCCAAGCGAAAGTCGCCCTCATCATGCTAAGGTGGCGTACTTCCCCAAATCTTCCAGCTGGTTCGAGCTTGTGAACTCAAACCATAAACACATGATCCCAACTATGATTTGAGGAACCTTAAATCAAACAGCCCGAATACCAAAAAAGCCTAAACCTAAGCCTTGAACCCTAGTCAGGATTTGCGGAAGACGACGTGAGCTACGCCATTTTTGGTAGACTTGGGGAAGTACTTATGAACCTTCAAGTAGTCAAAGGGTTAGGGTTTAGGGCTTAAGGTTTAGGGTTCCGGAGAGTCCAGAGACATGCGCCTCAATGCGTCGAAAGCCCCACTTCTTCAAGAGCTCGCGGCCGTGCTCCAGATGCCTTATTATAGGGGCCCCCTTGTTTAGAACAGGGCTTTGGGGGTTATTTTAGTACATTGATGTGTAGGGACCATGTGGGAATACTAGTATTATTTTCCCCGACCCCTATATTAAGCAACGCGGGCGCTTCAGAGCTTCGTGCTTGCGCAGTGCTTTGGCTTGGAAAGGTTTGCTTAGGACTTTGTAGGTTGTAGAGGATTTTGCCTGGGCTTATCTAAGGCTTCATCGGGTTTAGTGGGGCTTTATAGTTTTTATAGTTAGGGCTTAGGGTCTAAGGTTTATGGTTCTGGGTTTGGAGCCCACAGACTCAGCTCCAGGCGTCTCCCCACACCAAAGGAACAGGAAGGACTGGGAGTCGGCGATTTCCCCGATCTGCGCGAAGGCAGCGGAGGACTTGGGCGACATAGGGTCGAGGGTTTTCAGGGGTTAGGGTGTTTAGGGTTTAGGGTGTTTAGAGTTTAGGGTGTTTAGGGTTTAGGTTTTAGGTTTTAGGCTTTTGGGTTTTTGGGGGTTTGGGGTTTGGGTTCCCTCATGCCGGACTGGCAGGCCATGCTTGAAAGACGCAGCTAGCAGGTCATGCGAATCCTAGGGTGACTTCCGGTGCCGGAAGGTCCCATAAGACACCATTGTGTGTGTGACACCCTGAACCCGAACCCACGACTCACGACCGAAGGCTAGGCTTGAGGCTTCAGGAAGCTGCTTTTGGTAACCCCACTGTGACTGCGGACGACTGTCCTTCATATGATAACGGGGGACTATCTAGGTGTTCTTGGGGGTCGGTTCGAGTGTCCTTATACACAGCTCGTAGTATATGAAACCGTATTCTGTGCTATTGCATGTTATGCTGTACCCAAGCGCCACCAAGATCGTCTTGCACACTACCTAGACCAAGGAGTAACCTAGGAATAAAAAGGGTGAACTTTGTGGTTTTAAGGGGATTATATAGGAACTCCAACCCCAAAACAAGGAAATAAGGGCCAGCTACCCTACCCCAAAAAACCCTAAACCCTAAACCCTAAACCCTAAACCCTAAACTCTTCGGGAATGGGATGCGAGATTGTCTAGGCAAGGAGGGAGTGCGCTGGCCTTGAGATTCCTCAGCTCCTCGAGAGTCCAGGTAACCAAGTCCTGCATCAAAGGCGCCCCACGCCCTTGCATTTTAGGGTTTAGGGTTAGGGTTTAGGGTTTAGGGTTTAGGGTTTAGGGTTTAGGGTTTAGGGTTTAGGGTTTAGGGTTTAGGGTTTAGGGTTTAGGGTTTAGGGTTTAGGGTTTAGGGTTTAGGGTTTAGGGTTTAGGGTTTAGGGTTTAGGGTTTAGGGTTTAGGGTTTAGGGTTTAGGGTTTAGGGTTTAGGGTTTAGGGTTTAGGGTTTAGGGTTTAGGGTTTAGGGTTTAGGGTTTAGGGTTTAGGGCTTCGGGACTCAGGGTTGACGCGCAAGTCGTTGCCGGACGTCCTCATCCGGCACGTACATGCCGGCCACTCTTGCATTATACCTGGCCGGGCCAGACAAGACCCTAAACCCTAAACCCTAAACCCTAAACCCTAAACCCTAAACCCTCAACCCTCAACCCTGAACCCTAAACCCTAAACCCTAAACCCTAAACCCTAAACCCTAAACCCTAAACCCTAACCCTAAACCCAGAACCTGAGCAAAAAAACCGACACAGCTAAAACCCGACACCCTGAAAGCCTACACCCCCTAAGCCTTATACCCTCCAGCCCTACACCCATAAGCCCTGAACCCTGTAGTCCCTTAAACCCTAAGCCCTAAGCCCTAAGCCCTGAACCCTAAACCCTAAACAACCTTAAACCCTAAACCCCAAACCCTAAACCCTAAACCCCATAGTCCCTTAAACCCTATACCCTTGCATCTCCTAGGCTTTAGGCCGGGGCACTCTTCCCAAGGAGGGTCCATGAGTATCACATCAAACTTGGTTCCGAGACCTGAGAGCTCCCGGGCGCTTTTAGGGCTCTAGGGTTTAGGGTTTAGGGTTTGGGGTTTGGGGTTTGGGGTTTGGGGGGTTTAGGGGGTTTAGGGGGTTTAGGGGGTTTAGGGGGTTTAGGGGGTTTAGGGGGTTTAGGGGTTTAGGGGTTTAGGGGGTTTAGGGGGTTTAGGGGGTTTAGGGGGTTTAGGGGGTTTAGGGGGTTTAGGGGGTCTACGGGGTTTAGGAGGTTTAGGGGGTTTAGGGGGTTTAGGGGGTTTAGGGGGTTTAGGGGGTTTAGGGGGTTTAGGGTTTAGGATTGGAGCTCCAAAAGTGGTCGTCATAGCTTTAGGGTTTTTAGGGTTGGGGGGGTTCAGGGATTTATGGGGTTTTGGTGGTTTAGGGGGTTTAGGGTGTTTAGGTAGGTTTTGGGGGGCTTGGAGGGGTTTAGTGGCCCACTCAAGCATTGCCGCCTCATCAAATCTGCACAATCATTGAGGCGGTGGATTCAAAATTGCCCAGCTGATGCTCATGATGCTTTCCGGCCGTCTCGTCAAATCTGCACAATCGCTGGGGCGGTGGATTTTGCAGGCGTCTGAAGCCTAGGCGGCCATGTGGCCGGAAAAATAGCCCAGCTGATGCTCATGATGCTTTCCCGCCGAGCCGTCAAATCTGCACAATCGCTGGAGCAGTGGATGTTGCAGGCGTCTGGCGCCTAGGCATGTGGCCGAAAAATAGCCCGGCTGATGCTCATGATGCTTTCCTGCCGCCTCGTCACATCTGCACAATTGGGTTTTGCAGGCGTCTGGAGCCTAGGCGGCCATGCGGCCGGAAAATAACCCAGCTGATGCTCATGATGCTTTCCGGCCGTCTCGTCAGCAATCACTGGGGCGGTGGATTTTGCAGGCGTCTGGAGCCTAGGCGGCCATGTGGCCGGAAAATAGCCCAGCTGATGCTCATGATGCATTCCGGCCGCCTCGTCAAATCTGCTCAATCACTGGGGCGGTGGATTTGTAGGCGTCTGGAGCCTAGGCCATGTGGCCGGAAAATTGCCCAGCTGATGCTCATGATGCTTTCCGGCCGCCTCGTCAAATCTGCTCAATCACTGGGGCGGTGGATTTTGCAGGCGTCTGAAGCCTAGGCGGCCATGTGGCCGGAAAATCGCCCAGCTGATGCTCATGATGCTTTCCTGCCGCTTCGTCAAATCTGCACAATCACTGGGGCAGTGGATGTTGCAGGCGTCTGGAGCCTAGGCGGCCATGTGGCCGGAAAATAGCCCAGCTGATGCTCATGATGCTTTCCGGCCGCCTCGTCAAATCTGCACAATCACTGGGGCGGTGGATTTTACAGGCATCTGGAGCCTAGGCGGCCATGTGGCCGGAAAATAGCCCAGCTGATGCTCATGATGCTTTCCGGCCGCCTCGTCAAATCTGCTCAATCACTGGGGCGGTGGATTTTGCAGGCGTCTGGCGCCTAGGCGGCCACAGCCGGAAAATTGCCCAGCTGATGCTCATGATGCTTTCCTGCCGCCTCGTCAAATCTGCTCAATCACTGGGGCGGTGAGGCGTCTGAAGCCTCGGCGGCCATGTGGCCGGAAAATGCTTTCCGGCCGCCTCGTCAAATCTGCACAATCAGGGGTTGGGGGGTTGGGGGGTTGGCCTGACCTACCACTCCTTGCCTTGATACTTCATCTACGCACCACACCCTCCACTACGCCTAGCCCTACCCCCCCAACACCCCACCCCGACTACCCTACCCCCACCCCCAACACCTCCAGCGCATGCCACCCCCACGCTCCTTCTCTGGGGTCGGCGGCACTGCCATTAAATAAACATGTCACAAAAGGTATGCAGAAATAGTCCCACGAAGGGATTGATGTTCATCCCTTCGTGGGACTCATCTTTTTGTGACCAGACCACCACTGCCCCAGTGACTGAGCAGACTTGACGAGGCGGGAGGAGAGCATCATGAGCATCAGCTGGGTTATTTTCCGGCCACAGGGCCCCCTTAAGCTCCAGACGCTTGCCAAACCCCACCGCCCCAGTGATTGAGCAGATTTGACGAGGCGGGAGGAGAGCATCATGAGCATCAGCTGGGTTATTTTCCGGCCACAGGGCCCCCTTAAGCTCCAGACGCTTGCCAAACCCCACCGCCCCAGTGATTGAGCAGATTTGACGAGGCGGGAGGAGAGCATCATGAGCATCAGCTGGGTTATTTTCCGGCCACAGGGCCCCCTTAAGCTCCAGACGCTTGCCAAACCCCACCGCCCCAGTGATTGAGCAGATTTGACGAGGCGGGAGGAGAGCATCATGAGCATCAGCTGGGTTATTTTCCGGCCACAGGGCCCCCTTAAGCTCCAGACGCTTGCCAAACCCCACCGCCCCAGTGATTGAGCAGATTTGACGAGGCGGGAGGAGAGCATCATGAGCATCAGCTGGGTTATTTTCCGGCCACAGGGCCCCCTTAAGCTCCAGACGCTTGCCAAACCCCACCGCCCCAGTGATTGAGCAGATTTGACGAGGCGGGAGGAGAGCATCATGAGCATCAGCTGGGTTATTTTCCGGCCACAGGGCCCCCTTAAGCTCCAGACGCTTGCCAAACCCCACCGCCCCAGTGATTGAGCAGATTTGACGAGGCGGGAGGAGAGCATCATGAGCATCAGCTGGGTTATTTTCCGGCCACAGGGCCCCCTTAAGCTCCAGACGCTTGCCAAACCCCACCGCCCCAGTGATTGAGCAGATTTGACGAGGCGGGAGGAGAGCATCATGAGCATCAGCTGGGCTATTTTCCGGCCACAGGGCCCCCTAAGCTCCAGACGCTTGCCAAACCCCACCGCCCCAGTGATTGAGCAGATTTGACGAGGCGGGAGGAGAGCATCATGAGCATCAGTTGGGTTATTTTCCGGCCACAGCCCCCTAAGCTCCAGACGCTTGCCAAACCCCACCGCCCCAGCGATTGAGCAGATTTGACGAGGCGGGAGGAGAGCATCATGAGCATCAGCTGGGTTATTTTCCGGCCACAGGGCCCCCTAGGCTCCAGACGCTTGCCAAACCCCGCCGCCCCGCGTCTGGAGCCTAGGCGGCCATGTGGCCGGAAAATAGCCCAGCTGATGCTCGTGATGCTTTCCGGCCGACTGGGGCGGTGGATTTTGCATGCGTCTGGAGTGCCATGTGGCCGGAAAAAAAACCAGCTGTTGCTCATGATGCTTTCCGGCCGCCTCGTCAAATCTGCACAATCACTGGGGCGGTGAATTTTGCAGGCTGGGACTTCATGGATACTTACTTGTGGTTGTCAGAAACATGGGTAAGACCTTCAAAACCCTAAACCCTAAACCTTGAACCCGAAACCCTAAACCCTAAACCCTAAACCCTAAACCCTAAACCCTTCTTTCCCTAAGCCCCAAAATCCCAACCTGACGTAGACCTCTCCCCAAGCAGGATCACCTGGGCCGCACGCTGACCAAGTCGAAGGTCCTTGCAGACAGGGTTTAGGGTTTGGGGTTTAGGGTTTAGGGTTTAGGGTTTAGGGTTTAGGGTTTAGGGTTTAGGGTTTAGGGTTTGGGGTTTGGGGTTTGGGGTTTGGGGTTTGGGGTTTGGGGTTTGGGGTTTGGGGTTTGGGGTTTGGGGTTTGGGGTTTAGGGTTTAGGGTTTAGGATTTGGGCTACCCGAAGCCCTAAACCCAAGCCCTAAGCTCTTCCGCCCTAAGCCCTAAACCCTAACGCCGATTTGGAGCGGAGTCCTTCCTGCCATAAAGTCTTAACCGGTCTCCCCCAAGACGTCGGGCTTGGGGATCAAGCGCGAAGTCCGAAGCTTAAAACCTTGTGAGCCCTAACTCTAAACCATAAACCCTAAACCCTAAATAATCCCTAAACCCTGAACCGTGAACCTAAGCCCTTGAACCCTTAAACCCGAAACCCATAACCCCTAAACCTTTTCGGGATTCAAAGGGCTCCAGGGTTGAAGGGTTTAAGGGCTTCAGGGTTTTGAGGGCGCAGGGGCTGAAGACTCTAGAACCCTCCAAACCTAACCTCTAAAGCCTAGACCCTCAAAACCCTAGACCCTAAACCCTAAAAACCTAAACCCTTAACCCTAAACCCTTAACCCTAAACCCTTAACCCTAAACCCTAAACCTACATTTCGGCGAAGCTTCCTTTTGCATGCTGAAAGCTCTCTGGTGGCCTGGTCTACAAGGCATCCTGGTTAGGCTCTAGCGTTCAGGGTTTTTCGGGCTTCGGGGTTAAGATGAATTGGCTTTAGGGTCACCATGAGCCCTAAACCCTAACCCTACACTCTAAACCTAAACTCTAAACAATAAAGCCTAAACCCTCAACCCTGAACCCTGAACCCTGAACCCTGAACCCTGAACCCTAAACCCTGAATCCTAAACCCGATTCTGCGGACGTTGCAGCCCCAGGCGCTTCAAGTCGCACTTGAGCGACATTCCCGGCGTGGCCCTCTTGGCCAAGATGTCGTCCTGGGTTTAGGGTAGGGTTTAGGGTTTAGGGTTTTGGGTTTTGGGTTCTGGGTTTTGGGTTCATTGCTTGGGGTTTAGGGTCCTGGCAAGGATGACAGGGTTTTTGGGGGGTTTGGGGTTTAGGGTTTTGGTGCTTTCGGGTAAAGCGAATGCAACCTGTGCGTCTTTTCATTCCTCACAATTCAATAGTTTTGCATTAGGGGCTGTTGGTTAGTTTAGTTCACATAATATATTTGCCGTCATTTTCGCTTCCAAAGATTGTTTTTTGGGGAAACAGATGAAGAAAGAGAACTAACGTACCACGAACCCGTACATTGTTGGAATATACTTTCTTAGCTTCACGAATATACCAAATACACGAGACAACCAGAACTCTTTTCACCGAGCGCGCCCAAAGGATGTTAACAGTATTCTTTCACCTCTTCATACTTATACTGAAAGGGGATAATGCGCGCACGTGTTTACACAACATTCTAAACCTCACTATAGTCACTAAATGTACTATATTGAAAGGGAATGGGAATAGAGTACATGAACACCCTTGTTTCATCCAATTTCTGGGTTTTTGTCTTACTGGATTGACTTAGAAATAGAACTAACTTCCCGTTCACTTGTTTGATAATGTATTATTCTTGCCCGCTGTCACACCATTCTGAATAAGCATATATAGGATGTTGGCCGTGAGTGAGCCGTTCACTTGTAACACCTGTGAAAAGTAGTTCATGCATGAATACAGTGTACCTGGCGCTCGCCCGGCCTCTGTTGCCAGCCCTATGCACATATTAGCTGTACCCTTGGAAGCATGAAATAGAATCATAATGGGCCCTTTGAGGGAACAAGATGAACAAGACAAACGCATTGAGGGACCGGACCCACCGCCCAACAAAACTTTTAAAGTGCATTAAAGAAACCTGATAATTTGTCACCAAGAACAAACGACCGTATTCTACTATTGCTACTTATTAAAGGCGCAACGCGTGAATGGAGCAATCAATGAAAAGACCCGTTCTTCGCTCAAACACTCCATCGCTTAATGGCATCTTTGCACAAACCATTAGAGGCAAGGGAAAAGGACAAAGGATACACTGATTTTGGATATTTGCGCAACTTTTGGCTGCTTCTGATTTTCTTTTTATATGTCTTCACCTTGGAAGAACTATACCTTGTGCTTCATATTTTATACTCCAAATACGCGTTCCGGAATTGTTTTCAACTTCTTCTTAATGGGAACAGCATTTATGGGTCCTGTTTTACCTTTTGGACACATGAGTTTATGAGGAGCTACAGTAGTGGCAAATGTATCATCACCATTTCCACAAGTAATGACAAGAAAATTGCATTTTCTGTCAGTATTTGAAAGATTTCTATGGAAAGAGAGAGAGAATTATCTGGCAATAGGATCCTCATTGCAGGTTCCTGACAGAGGAATGCGCTCAACAGTGCATTTGCACTGATTGTTGCTGAACCTTAAACAGTAGAACCTCAGGCCTAATTGTGATACGGCCCATTTAGGGGAGTTCGCGTCTTGGGGTGTAGTGTTGAGGCATTCCTTCACGCCCCAGCGGGGCACGCCCACTCCCCGCCCTCCTTGAGTTTGATCAAGCGCTCGATCTTTGGATAGTCTGAATAGCGGTTCTGGTAATCCAGGTCCCGGATGTAGTTCTGCCTTGGCAGTTAGGGTTTAGGGTAGAGGGGCTGCGTGTTCACAAAATCTGTTTCCAGATCTTGCAGGTTGAGGATCAGGCCGACGCCCCTTTCAGGAAACCTAGTGCTTGGCGTGCCACGTATCCGGACTCTGCAAATCCAGGGTTCAAAACGTGGATTGCTTCGGGGGCTGCCCTGATCCATAAATCCCAGGTCCCTAAGTTTAGGGCCTCTCAGCTTGGCAAGGCAGTTCCAGCTTTTTCGGCAGCAGGATTGTGCGCGCACTTCCTTGGGCGCACACGGGCGCAGCCCAGTGTCAATGAAAGTCTGACCTTCACACAGGGGTTTAGGGGTTTAGGGTTTAGGGTTTAGGGTTTAGGGTTTAGGGTTTGGGGTTTGGGGTTTGGGGTTTAGGGTTTAGGGTTTAGGCGTTTAGGTTTAGGGCTTCTAGGGTCCTAAAGCAAGGAATTCGACGATGAAACGTCTGACGGGGGTGTATTAGGGTACGGGGCCTTAGTCCTCACTTGGACCTCAAGTAACCCTAAATGCTGTTTAAGATGCCCTAAATCCCCCCCAGAATGTGGTACCCCTAAACCCCAAACCCCAAACCCTAAAGCCTCAAGCCTATAGACCCTAAGCCCCCTATTGACAAGGGTGTACTGGGGGGGTACGGGCCAGGGCCTGGTTTCAGGCGCCTTTCATGGGCCGTTGAAAGGCAAGACTTCGGGAGTTTAGGGAGTTTGGGGGTTTCGGGTTTGGTGAGTTGAGCGTTTAGGGTTCTGGGTTTTAGGGAGTTTCGGGTTTAGAGTTTGGGGTTTAGGGTTTGGGGCTCAGGGTTTTGGGTTTTGGGCTTAAGTAGACCGCGTACAACCCTAAACCCTAAACCCTAAACCCCAAACCCTAAACCCTAAACCCTAAACCCTAAACCCTATCCTCCACACCCGGGAGAGCCCGCCGAAGCGTAGACCCCAAACTGTGACACCCTGCACACCTAGGGTTTAGGGTTTAGGGTTTAGGGTTTAGGGTTTGGGGTTTAGGGTTTAGGGTTTAGGGTTTGGGGTTTGGGGTTTAGGGTTTAGGGTTTAGGGTTTCGAGTTTGGGGTTTGGGGTTAGGGTTCAGGGCCTAAGCTCTGAACCCGAAACCCACTCCAGACGCGAAACCGTGAACTCGACCGTCGCAGGTGCTGGACCCTCATGCACATGTCCAAGGACGGGGCAGTAGTCGTTGCGCATGAGGAACTTGGAGCTCACCTTCAGTTTATGGTTAAGGGTTAAGGGTTAAGGGTTAAGGGTTAAGGGTTAAGGGTTAAGCGTTCAGGGTTAAGGGTTTAGGGTTTAGGGTTCAGGGTTTAGATTAGGGTTGGGATGTTCCCCCTGACACTAACAGTCCTTAACAGGGATTACAGTACCCCCGACTGTAATCCCTGTGAAGGACTGCTAGGATAAGGGGGAACGTTGCGCTGTTGGGGCTTCTTGACGGCTGATGAGGCTTTAGGGGCGCTTTTTGTGGGTCTGAGGTTTGAAGGAACTTTCGAGCTAAGGGGGCTTTAGGGTTCAAGGCTTAAGGTATAGGGTTTAGGGTTTAGGGTTTAGGGTTTAGGGTTTAGGGTTTAGGGTTTAGGGTTTAGGGTTTAGGGTTTAGGGTTTAGGGGAACACCGACGCCGCAGTCTGTGGCTGATTCCAGATTTGAGATGAGTACTTATGAGTAGGGTTAGAAGTAGGGCAACTGTGACTACAGCTCATTTAGGGTTCTTACGCCCCCTACTCATAAGTACCCCTAAACCTCCAGGTTCCATGCGGAGAATGGCAGATTCGTCTCAGAAAGGGGCACGGTGCCGTCTCTCATTTTCCTTCTGCCACGCTTGACGCTCCTTTCAAAGTCTCCCGGAGTTTTCTCCGGGCTGCGAGCATCACTGCCTGGGAAGGCCGAACCTGCGTCTCTCACGCTGTCCAGCTGTCTATTGAAATCAGCAGCCAAAGCAAAAGTCTGTTAGACTTCCTGGACGAGACTGCCCAAGACCTCAAAGTGAAAGGCGCGCTCAATCCTGTTCTCCGTCGTCCCCAAGCACATACGCAGTCAGCGGCAGCAAGAGAACCAGGCATCCAAAGAGGATGCCGGCCACGTCATCGTACTCCCAATGCAGGACAGGGCCCTGCAACTCCATGCGGAATGGGTCATTGGACATGTTCGCCCAATCTTCCGCGCCCATCGAGGCCCCAGCCCGCAACAAGGGCGGTCTCTGGTCCACGTTAAAGACGTACCTAGCTCATGGTTGGGATAATATGAAAAATCTACATGCTTCTTCCTTGTTGGGTTTAAGTACCCTGAAACATGCAAAATGTTACCCAACCCTAAACCCAAAACCCAAAACCCAAAACCCTAAACCCTAAACTATGACAAAGGTACAGCATGAGGATCAGCAGGAGCCCGGCCAGGTAGAGCGCCAGGGACCCCAAGAGGCATACGCCAACTCTCCGCCTGCTGCAGCGGCAGCGGTGGTACTCTGACCAATGCAGCGTAAGGTAAACTACGCCATAGAGGCCAGAGACCCATGTCCTTAGTTGCTGAGTTCATAAGCCCCAAAAAAAGTGTACACTTTCAGTTCTATAGGGAACGATTGCATCCCAAGAAAGTGTAGAGTGTACCCATCCAGCTGCTAAGTGTCGCCGTGGCCACCAGCATCCACAGGGCAAGGAGGCCCAGTCGAGTTTCGGCAATCGAGGCCAAACTCTCGGGCTCCATAACACAGTCGATTTCAGAGCGGAGGGACTTGCACAAGCGGCCGCTTTGGGCTGTCATCGCTCCCGTGGGCTTGTGCCACTCTGGGCGAGGGTGGCGGCGAATCACTTCATGCTACTGTACCGGCTTGGGCCACCTTTTTCTGAGGGGCCGCATTGGTTTGCACAGGGAATCGAAGACGTCCCCAGCCCCCATTCTATGGGACCCGTGCTACCTCACCCCCGCAAAATGAACGGTCAAATCAGGCATTGTTGAGGGTCTTTGGGTCTTATCTTGGGTAGGGGTTGGGATCTTCCCCCTTATACTAACAGGCCCTGATACTGATTACAGGACCCCTGCTATAAGCCCTGTGAGGGACTGTTAGTATAAGGGGGAACATCCCAAGGTAGGGCGAGAGAGTGGGGGGATAACCTGGGTTCTCACAAGGAAGGGGTGCCGGGCCTTCACGTCCACGCCGTCGTCGGAGGGTTGGCCGTAGTGAGGCCTCAGCGCACGCAGCAACAGCCGGACTGCACACTGTGCCACCCAAAACCCTAAACCCTAAACCCCTGAACCCTAAACCCCT